TAAAACGTAAAATGTCTTCAAATTATATCAGAGATTTCTATGTGCCCTGCCTAAAAGAATGAGAACAAAGACTAATAGTCTGTAATAAATAAAGTGCTATTTCCAGTGTGTTTGTATGTGGCTGCTCTCTACTGAGAATGTCCTTTAGCACTTTTTAACCATATTCTCTTGTGTGTCAGCAAAGAGACTACATCAGAGTATTTAACATTGCTGGGAGCAAAGGAATAAAGTGGAGTCACTGTTGATTATTACTCATTAGCCACAAGGACATCCACTTAACATGTGAATAAATGAATGACACCATGTCCTAATGGAAATGGCCTCAGTGTACCTTTAAGCAAAATGTTGTTTAATATCTTCCATTTGCTGAATAGTAAAGAGGCCTGTTGGACATGCATAGTTAGCAAGCAGCCATTGTTGCTTTGTTCCAATTTCAGCATGTAATAAAAGATATTGTCTTGACTGTAAGCAAAATACTTTAAAACCCAAGATTCTTAATGCAGATAACTGCATATTCTCTCCCCCATTCTGCGGATGCAGACAATTTCATTGTTAAAGTAAAGGGTTAACATCCATAAAGCAAATGAAGCCTTATAAGGTGCATGTTCCTCATTATTCTGCTTTTTGTTCAAACACATAAAATAAAGAACCTCTGATATCTTTATTGGTTTTCTTAGATAAAATACAAGCAGGCCATAAGCCTTAATTTTCTTATAGCCATTTGTTAACAAGGAAGATAACACTTTCAAAAAGTACTTGATTAGGGCTCACTTTGATTTGTATCTTGTTTTGGTTTCCAGGGCATATATTTTGCATTATTACTTTGTTGCACTTATATTTCTGATCAAAGTCATAGAAAGAGTATTTTAAAAAGTGTAAATATTAAACATGCAGGCAAACTGCATAATCTGAATGGCATCTTGAATGTTGAAACAAATCACAGATAAGAGAAATAATAATACCTTGAGAGCCTGTAAGAACCGTCCAAAGGAGCCCATTAGTCTGAAAAACCAGTGAAGCAAAAACTTATTTAATTCAACATTGTTTTTCTTTTTAAAGTTTGTCCAATTTATCCAAAGAAAAATAGCTGCAAATTTAATATTAAGGATGGTTATCCTATAAAATATTTTAATATTAATATTTGACATGAGAACATGCTGCAAGAGAATGTATTATTCCCTACTGAGGCAAAATAGCTTGAGCTATCCAAGAAATATAAAAGCAAGCTGCAAGCTAACACAAAAGGTTTTATTTTTATTTTATAGCAAATTCTGATTCTTGACTGGGAAAAAGATTTGTCTTTTGTCATCTTTTCTATCATTTTCTTTCTGTCTGTAAAAATGTCTAACTACGCTAAAGACAACACACTGATATAACTTGGTTCAGACAAGCTTTCTCTTCATTTATCAAAAGCCAATTTAGCTGCAATGAACAGGGAGCCTTACAAAGCCTGCTAAACTTGCGAACTCGGTTCTAACAGGTCCGGTTAGAAGTTGCTTTGACGACTTGGAAGTCTAATACTCTTGCCATCTCCTTGTAGTGGCACTTCCTCCACCCTGGCCCCATGGAGAAAGGGAGTGAGCAAGAGATGATTACATCAATCAGTGTCAGGTCTGGGAGCTGTGATTTATGAATATGCATAATGAGCTCTCACCTTTGAGAAGGACTAGCTAGGAAGATAATTGATTAGACAGGAAAAGAGCAGCCAAGAGAAAGAGAGAGAGGCCTTGCTAAGCTGTCTCAGGCAGGCCTGGCTGGGGATCCAGTGAGGCTGTCAAGCTGTGACAGTCTGAGTAAGGGCAGTTTCCAAAAATATGAGTGGGATTTTGAATGTCTCAGTTCAGTGCATACACAGCAAAATATTTCCTTGAAAAATTCATTGGAGTTGCCTTCCCATTTAGGAAGGCTAGGCAGGCCTAAGGACTGCTCCTGACCTGCCCATCCCATGCACTCAATAATAGAACTCCCACCTCCAGGAAGTCCCAGCTTCGTCCAACAGCCATTAAGGGGTGCTCTTCTGATTCCTGAAACCCACTCAACCAGCTGGCCAGATTGAGTGGCTAAGAGGTTAGAGGGAAGAAGGGAGCCTAGGGCTTGAGCAGGAATAGCCAAGGGGACAGGAGGGATAGCAAGACCCTAATTTTATTTGACGTATCCTTATTTTCTACCCCTTGAAGTATCTGTCTATTCATAGTGTGGACATTTTCATGGTTTTAATATAGGTAGAACCTCCCTAGTGTCCGAGGGGGATGTCTATCTCCCCCCCATCCCTCCCCTTTTACCCATTAAGCTTTTCCTAGCAAGAAGGTTACCCAGGAAAGCTAGGCAAAAATGCAGCAACTGGGAGTGATTTCCGTAAGATCCAACCTCTACTGTCTGCTCCCACCCAAGAGAGATTCCCCCTTGTGCAGTAACTAAGGGGCAGGCAGCAGAGGGGGGAGCAGAGCTGGAATGGCATTAGAGCCAGGGTTACATAGCAGGGGATGCAAGAAGAAAACCTGTTTCTAGGCCAATCCATGCTCAGGGAGGACATTTTCAAATGGGAAGTCAGGGGGAAGGCAATGAAGCAGAGATTGCAAACTGCCAAACTCTCAAGATCCCTTCCACCTGTCTCTGTGGAGCCAGAGCCAGCTCCATTAACACCATACCAGGGATCTGTGCATGTGTGCATGCAGACACATACACACACACAAACAGGGTATAATCAACCCATAGCAGCAGTAATGCATGCCTGACAGTTAGAATACTAATCACAGCATGAAAAAAAATCTTATCACTTACAAACGTCTAGGATTTAAAATGTAGTTTATCGGCCTACTGCAACCAAATCCTATAAATAATACATTCCTATCACTATGACCTCAAAATGTCAATACTGCACACCCCTGCACATTTGCATATCCTGTACTGTCTAAACTTGAAGCATGTCAGCTATGTGCTTCTGTTTGTACTTTAACTTCATTTTAACTCTTTGCCTCATAGCACCCAGCACCCTTCTCCTCGGGAGGTCTGTCAATGAAATTAAAAAAAGAAACCCTATTTATTTATCAGATCCACAATTCTGCTACTGTTGCAGGCGGGGGAGAGAGAGAAACTCTACCACACAAGATCTAGAGAGAATTGAAGTAAGATCCAAACTCCACTGTGCTGTCCTTTCTCCCCACAAGGCCCAAGTCATCTTGGTGGTATGTGAGTTCCAACATAAAGTGTCATTTTCAAAGCAGCCCCGCTCCAACTCATTACTGCCTTAACATCAGCTTTTAACTTGCAATAATTGTGCAGAAGTAGTTTTGGAAGATAACTGACCAAGAAAAAAATAATCCTGGGATGGTTTTAATTTGATTGTGGTGATTTCATTGAGTCTAAAGCAAAGGGGTCAGGCTCCAGAATGTGTCTGCTTTAATTTTCTTAATGAGGAAAGACAAATGCAGGAGGAAGTTCTGCCTCTGAAGCCCTGGCTCCTTTCAGGTTGCTGAAGCGATTTTCCCAGCACTCTCAAGCTGGCAGGTAGAATTGAAGTGACTCTAAGCGGTTTGACCTCTTACAGATCTGGCCAATTTTCAGCACTTTGCCAAGGAAATGAAGCTAAAAGTTTTCGACGCTGCAACTAACCGGCAGCTGGGGGGTGTGGGGGGATGTTGCAAAGTTGCAGCTCTTTAATTTTAAAGCTTCCTGCCTGGGTTTTTTTTTCCTGAGTTTAGTTTACATTAGGTAAACCAGTAAATCCCAGGCTGGGCCTGGAGATCTCCCCCCTCTCCTTGGCACTGGGCACGTTTCCAGCAGCCCCTGCCGTCAAAGCCAGCATCCCTCGCGGAGTCTCGGCTCTCCTGCATGTCTGCTCGGACACTGCCCCAAAGTCCGGGACAGGGGATGGCATCGACTTCAAGAGGCTGGGAGCGAGTGGCGGCGCACACTATTGCCGCTCCCCGGCCGCCGAGCCGAGCACCCCGGGACTCCCGCAGCTCGGGATTGCCCCGCCGCGCTGGAAGCTGAAAGCGCGGCGCCTCGTGCCCGCGGCCCGAGCACCTCAACCTGCGGCCCGGCCCGCGCCGTGTGCGGAGACCTGCGCCGCGGAGAAACGCCCGAAGCAGCAAGAGCAGGCACCCGGGCACAGAGCCCCTGCTGCCCCCGCGCCCCGCGTGAGCAGCCCGGGCAGTGGCCGGGAAGGAAAGGCTCCCGGCTCGCAGGAGCGCCAAAGCTTCCCTGGCCGAAGCCTCCCCGCGCCGGGCTCAGCTCCCGTCGGGGGGCGCGGGGCAGCCGCAGGTCCCCGCCCGCC